GTGCAAATAAACATGTAGTTTTTAAAGTCACTTAGTTACATTTAACCTTTAACTTATCTTCAAGCCCCGGTCTTCTGAAGAAGAAATAATTTAGATAATTCTTGAGGTACTAGACTATTGTAGAAAAATGTCAGAGCAGGTATCAGAACAGCACTTTTACTATATTTCCCTGTGTTTTTCAATATTCCATTTTCTCCATAGGAATGTCAAGAAGTGCCTTCATCTTAGCTGAATGCCCAGATTTTAATTCATGGCAATATCAAAAGCAACTTCTGCTGCTGCAAATAACAAGAGTATAATTTGCCAAGTTTAGTTTAAAAATTGAAAAGTTCAAACTCCAATAAAATGTTGTTAAATCCTGTAAATATTTTAGCTTTTTGTGTTTGTAAAAAATTCGTTTTTTTCTCAAATGGGCAACTCTGTTATGAAATTCAAGTTACTCAACTTCAGCTATTCTCATTTTATCTGTAAGCACCTACATTAGTAAGTGTGTATTGCATTAGTATTTTTGCATATATTGGATCCAATACACAGATGTGACACAGATATGTGCCAATTATATGTTGTTTATATAGAATAATTTAACATATAAATTTAAGCAGGTACCACCATTTCTGTCCAAATACGAGGGAAGGGCAATGCCTGTTATTGGGTTTTTCCCCTATTGACCATTGTCATGCTAATCTGGCTTTAACGTGGTACCATTTTCTTCCTGATGTAAAAGAACTATTGTAAAACAGAATAGATAGCCTCTGTGGCAGATATAACTTTCTAATTGTAGGTGGTCAATTTTTTCACATGACACTTTCTCCCATATGAAGTATTACAGTGCTTTGCAGTCAAATTTTACCACCTTACTGAATAGTTCACTTTATACATAAATTTGTCCAATATTAGTGAGAAAACTAAAACGATTTTTCAGTTCAAGAAATTCGTCCTTCCAACTATGAATATGCACTTTTTAGATAATGTTATCTATTTTTAAATTAAAGGCATCATTGATATCCCCTTTCAATGTAGATATGAAATAGGTTTTAGATGAATGTATGGATTGTACAGAATGTCTGTGGTCCTGTGACAGATAATAAAAAAATAAATCCCTTCTGCACAACATGCAAACATATACAACTCTCTGTAGTGATCTACAGAAGATATAATCAATGTATAAGAGTTATGTTGTAACTCACATCATCAATAAAAATCTTGGCCGAGTAATTTAAAATTAAGGTATTCCAAATACTTATGGTTCATGCTATATGCCAGTGAACAGGAAAGGGAAAGAAAGTCTGAACAGCTCTCCACAGTCAGCTACAGAGCAAAGTTAGCATATCTGTTTTCAAAGGAGATCATGTGTAGCTGTGCCGTGTGTTTGGAGCCATATTTTTTACAACCTACAGCTTTCTTACAGCTATAAAGGTGGCAGATACAAAGGCGAAAGATTTTTCAGCTGTTGTGCCACTGATTCAGTCCCTTGGTTCTGATTTCCAGCTGCATTTTCTTGGGCTGGACTTGAGTGAAATATTTTTGCACTTTATCTTCCTGCAAATAACTTGAATTTGAATACAGTCTTATCAGTAAATGCCTGATGACATTGCTAATACTTTTTCATTTATAAAAAAAAAGGCCAATTTTTACATTTTTAGATTACATCTTTTCTTAAAGATTCCTTTAGCTTTAACGAGGGGGGGAAGTAAAAAAAAATGTGACATGGAACTCTTTTTAAGGCTATATTTAAAAAGAAAATGTATTTTGGAATTTTGTAATATTCAGACTTTTCTGCTGAAATCTTAATGTTTTTGGTGAAATGGAAAATGCATGTTTTGCAAGCTGTGTAGGGCCTACATTAGCAATGTTTTCTTTACAATGACTTGAAAGCAGCAGAAACTTGTATATTGGAAATTATTGCTTTTAGGCCTTATAAGGGCCTTAGACTTCTTACTTGGGACAAAAAAGGAGGGTGCCTTGTTTGTTTGCTATCCAGTACATCCAAGAATCAGCCATAATCTGTCTCGGTTTAACATACCTATGATATATGTTTCAAAGAGTATAAATCTATTAACTTTGAGGTAGTCAAGTCATATTGTCAATTCTTTGGCTTGATATGAAATAATTGCCTCAGAAAGCACAAGCTTCCTATGAAATGGTCAGATTGCTATTATAAAAACCCAAGTTTAATAAAGCAGTCAAGCACTCACGAATATATGTGCATCTACAATACACTATTTTGTACAACTTTGTTCTAGCAACTAAAGTACTAGTGTCTGCACTCATTTATCTTGATTTTTAGATTTCTGATATGATCTGTATTCTGTATTATTTCATGGAAATAGTATTCATGTTTCTTTTCCATTCTTCTCCTGCTATGATGAGATTCTTGATATACAGCTGATGAAGCTGTACTCTGTTTCAATTGTCTGTGTCCCCACTAGGGCTAATATAATTGTTTGACTTAGAGTTCAGTCTAAGAGAGAACCAGGTTTGACTTTAGGTGCACAACTTAATCCTCTAAAACTGGGAATTTTTAATATTACTCTCCTGTAGCTTGAATAAGTTACATTTTTATTCTAGAAAGAACATGGGTAGATTCATTATATTAAACTGTTTATTCTCTCTAATTAATTTGGTTAATTTTAGTATTAAAAGCATGGAAATGGTGAAAAACAAGTGGGATCATTTTGGCAATAATTTTGAAGCTCTGTCCATCTGGATAGCTGAACAAGAAAAAGAACTGGAAACTTTGGAAACATCATCATCTCCTTTGGACATACAGATCAGCCAAATCAAGGTGATAAGTTCTTATTATGTTTAGCATTAAAAGTCCATTTTTCTGTCATTATGCTAGAGGCCAATGGGAGAACGGGCTTTTTACATGTTTCAGAGCTACCATGATGTAATGGTGGTACACTTTGTAAACAAATATACCAAGCAGTAAAGTTTTACATAAACTAAAGGAAAATTATTACAGGCTGCCTTCTCTGTTAGTGTTTAGCTTGCATATATGAAATTTTTGTGTGTGTGGTTAAAAATATTATTTAATTTATACTCCTTAATTTTTGAATAATCTCAACGGGTGTATAAAATAGCTACATAAATAAAAGGTGTATAAAGCATTTTTATTTTAAAACATTCATCAGCTAGTGGATATAGAACTTGATTTTAATCTTGCAAGCTATAGTTATAACTTGATTTATGTATCTTTTATGCTGAAATAATAAAGAAACTATTGCTCTTGGTAGCTTGCAAACCCACATACTATTTATTGTTATTATATTTACACTGCCTTAAATTCTGTTTACATTCCTGTAGATACATAGTGTTGTACCTTCTTACTGCTGAGATGCATATTGTCTCCAAGCATTGTGTTTCAAGGGCTGACTTCATATCCTCCAAGAAAAAAACACGTACCATCTCTGAAACTGACTGTTTCTAAGGGGGCAGAGTTTTTCAGTGTGCAGTGCACGCTGCCATTTTCTTTATTCTGTGACCTATTTACTCTTCAAAGAGCACACAGGTGTGCAGCTGCTTGCAGTCATGGACCAGATTGACATTTAAGTTCCAAGGGATCCCTTAAGGCACTTGTTTTGTGTAGCAAAACCAGTTTATCAACAGATTTTCCTGTTCTTAGTTTGACCACAATTTTACATACAGCAGATAAATAAAATCTCTTTATTTCATTATTGAAGAATAAAACAATGCTTGAATTCTTGGTTGTTTGCCACAGCAATTCAAAACCAGTTTCCTTGTGAAAGAATATGTTTCCATTTATTTGACTGGCATACACTGTCATGTAGCCATGCTTTACATTAGTTACTAGAAATTATTCAAATGTTTAAGACAGAAAGGAAGCATATCAAGCCAGTTTCCCAGAAAGGCTGTTTCTTACTGTATAAACAGATAAACAGTAATTTTTGCACTTCATTGCAAGTTTTTGAAAATGCCAACTTAAGCCTTCTTTATTTAAACACCAGGACAGAGAGAAAATTGCTGACAGATAATTTTTATAAATGCCTGAGTGAACAGAGAGCAGAGAAAATCCTCCAGATAAAGCTTAGAGTCCATAATTGTAACTCAGATGGACAAACCAGCTTTATGAACTGGGATACATGAAATGAGTCATCTAACCCTCAATATGTGGGCATACCTGGAGGTCTTCTTCAGCAGCATTGCTTTGTGCCTGTTTATTAAGGATTTTTTTGTGTTGTGAGTTTCCTGATCAGTTACTGTGTCATGACCCCAATCAGCATACTTAGTTCATAATTTTTAGTACAACGTATTAGTAAGGATCATTGCAATATGAGACAAAGACACAAAAAAATAAAAATTAAATGATGTGTTCCCTGATATCTTTGGCTGACCACATAAAAAACCTAGGATCAGCTAAATGCAATTATCATACGTATTGGTAATATTCCGCCTTTGATGACTTTGCTTGCAAAACCCTGATGATGACTTCAGCAGAGCCAGATTTTCACCTACGCATTTCTCCAGAAATCCTGGTGAACAAAATGACAGATATCACAAGTAGTTACCATTGGTGGCAGACTTACTGAGAGTTTGAAGGCCTCAATTATCCACCTTCTTTTATGTAACTGAGTGAATTTAACGGAATAGCGTGGGAGTAAAAAAGCACTGCCTCATTTTTATCTGCTGCATTGTTAGATAATTTCAGTCACTGGGCCAAAAAAACAGTATGTCTCCTCAGCACCGTATTTTCATGCAAAAAAGGTATTTTATAATCTGAATTAATTCAGAATATATTGCATAAAGAGACACTATAAATGCTTACATCACCACATTTTTTTTTGTCTCTACTGTTACCCTGCTAATTCTAGGCTCTGGATGATGCAGTAAGCCAATCCTGACCTTAATAAGGGCAAGTAAGATGCCATATTTTTGTCACACTTATGGCAGAAGGTGGGCACTTTCTATGCTTTTGAGAGTGCATTTTCTGTAAAGTTTTTGGTTGATATACAGACATACAGACATTTTTGTATCTGAGAATGCTATTGCCTATTTCAAGTTTAAAGAGTGCTCTTGGCTCTTTCAGTCCCCACACAGTGGGTGGCTTTCACTGCTTTTGAGAAGAGCTCCAAGGGCATGCTACATAAGCAGAAATTAAAAGAAATCTGTTGTGAAAAAAATCTTATTTCCAAGGTCACCAATGCTTAGCCACTGAATATGAAACACCATAAGTTTCTGTTTTGGATGTTGTAGCTTTCCTGTTTGTTTCTAATTTGCAATAAAAATAAGTGCAAAAAATAGAATGCAGTTTCTGTCATGATTAAGTATAAAGCTGGTGCTAGTTTTTCTTTAAGCATTTACTAATTGGCACAGAAGACAGCTGAAAAGTACCAAAGGCCGTTATCACTCATTTCATGGTTTCCTATGTATACTGTAGTATGGTTCTTCATTTAATTCTCTGCTTTAGGGCACACTCACCCTACCTTATAACCTATTTTAATTTGTTCTTCATTATATTATACAATTTTACATTAATGAAAAACCATCTCTATTGATTTTCAAATCATAGTATATTTTATTTTGTAGTTGTCTGAAAAATTATTAAACACAAGTAATCAACTGTTTAAGATTCAGCTCTTTAACAATTTTGTTTTCAGTTATACACTTCCTTTTTAATATTGTATTTATTTTGAATCTTTAACATAATTATGTATTATTTTGCTGTGAAGTAAGAGATGCTAAAATATGAACCATCCTATCTGCTTATAAAAATATGTACCTCAGGAAATTCTAAATCCTCTTCATAGACACTGCTTTTACAGCAGACTGGTTTTAAACCTTTTCCTGTGCTTGATTCAATAAGAAAAAAGGGAAATTATGGGGCATACTAAAGACTTTTATAAGTAGTTATTTCAAGTGGTTAATGAACTCTCCTCTTATTTACTTTTTTTAATGAAGAATATTAGTAGTTTGGGTAAAAGTAGGAAATAGAAAAGAATATTCTGATTTTTAAAACCTTACTGTACTTCTTTATTTACTATGACTTTACATTTTAGGTTATTAATAAAGAAATAGATGGTAAAATGACTGGAATATCGAAACTAGAAGAGGAGGCTGAATCTTTTTCTCAGTTTGTTACCTCTGGAGAACGTGCACATATTAAAGCCAAACTGACTCAGGTCAAAAGGTATTGGGAAGAGCTAAGAGATCATGCACAGAGACTGGAAGGAACTATCACAGGGAATGCCTCAGCACAGCAAAAATATGAAGAAAGTTTTAAGCAGGTAGACAATGAAAAAACTTACTGAATGTTTGCAGAAATTTATAGAATTACTCTTTATTTTCTTCAAAATTGAATATAAAATTCATAATATAATAGGATGGACTAGAATGTATGAGCAGATTTTTAAGGTAATTGCAGGACAAATTTGTGCTTTCAATAGCTTAAAAGGCAGGTTTAGGAAGACATGCTCAAAAAAACTACGTTATCTTAGAAACCTAAGTGATTCTCCTGAATATTGCACTTATAAACCATATCCATATTTCTTATAAACACTGTAACTTCATCTTGTAATTGTTAGTAGGTCATAAGGAAAATAATGAAATTATTGTTCCAGTCACAAAGAGCTGAGCACAGTTAGCATCTTTTAACTTCAAAAGGCACTCAGCATTACAAAAGCTTAGGATATAGTATTCTCCAGTGCTAAGCATCTGATAGATGTTATTTAAAGCATCATTTATTTGTTTTCTGCTGGTTTTAGACTCTCTGATTTGCCTTTTCTTCACAGGTGCAGCACACAGTGACTGAATTTGAAACTAAGCTAGCTGAGCCTGTCACAACATGCTCTTCAGCAGCATCAACATACGCAGCCCTTCAGGATTGCACGGTGAGCATCTGACAATTCCTGCCACCGATTCCAGGGAAATGGTACCACACTGGCCTCCTCACAGCAATGCAAATAACCTCCATACCAGAGGTTGCCTGATGCCACACCACCCAGGGTGGAGGCAGGAGGAAGCAAAGGCTGCCTGTCAGGGTGGGAGGCCCAGGGAAGGCTGCAGCAGATTTCCTCAGCTTATTTTTTCTCACACTTTCAGGCAGGCTTGGAAATATTTTTCCTACTCTAGTTTAAGAAAAGCCTAAAAGTATGATATATCTGTTACACATTTGTCTTCAAAGATTTTCAAGAAAGCTGGGTCTCGGTATAGAGAACTGTGATTTTTTATTTTTATTTTTTAAATCTCCTTGGAACTAGTTTTTCTTGGACAATACAGACACTGGACAGACATTTCTGTCTGACATTTCAACGCAGTTTTAACCAAGAGAATTGTACTGTTGATGCCAGAGATCCGTGGATGTCTGGACATTTGGTTCAGTCCTTTAAAAAAGGAAAATAAACATTGGTTTGGTATTCAAACTTCAAAAAATGCCAAATGTCAGAGAATTTGGTGTAGCATTTTTGTCCATGTCTATAAGCTTCTGACGTGTTCTTCTCACAATAATAATCATCTTCCATGCTAAGAAAATATTGTAAAAAAATTTAGTCCTATTGTTCTTGCAGTAAAATACATATTACATAATACATAATACAGTTTCTTTTGAACTTAGTGGTAGTTACTTTCAGAGACTGTATGCAAGGAAGACCTGGCCTGTCTGCTTCAAAAAAAGCTTCATACTTGTTGAGGAAAAATCATTTGCATATAGAGAATTTAACCAGACAGCACATGTAATCATCATTGTTACTGGCTTTTAAACATTATGAATATGCTGCGTATGCTACTGTAAACTTTTTTTCTGTTTGCAAGATCATAATACAATGCCTTAGTGTGAAATTATTTTGTATTATTGAGTTTAAACATCAGCAGCTTGTTGCTGTACAACTCACATTCCCTCCTATATATTATTTCTTTCATGGCTGTAATTAAAACCATTACTACTGTTGTTATTATTGCACACCTGAGAGTTAGAACTTCAGTGTTCTTAAATCTGCTTAATTTTGTGCAATTGTTGTTGTACTACATTTCAATCATTTTCCTATGAAAAAGTTTCCCAGCTATCTAGAAAAGGCAACATTGGAGCATCTGGTCAACATCAGGTGCCATTTCTATGAAAAAGACTTAGCTAATGCTGACAGAAGTTCACAGTAACTGTTCCCTACCTTCCCCATGTTATGACAAGGGCTGTGAGTCTGGCAGTCCTCACATATTTCAGGGAGCTTTTCTATTTCATGTATTTGTATAAAATGGAGCAACTCTTAGAGAGATTTTAAGGAATTTGGAGCCTTGTCCGGCATGATGATGCTGCGTTGCATGTCCATTCAGAAGATCTGACCCAATTGTTGCTGAGTGTTTTTTTCTTTAATCCTGTTCTTTGGGAAGTCTTTCCCCACTACAAGCTAGTTGATCAATACGCTTGGGATGTGTGCATCTAGGATAGGAGGTCTGAGTAAATAAGTTATGCAGTGTCTTCATGATCTGGTGAATGTATTGCTTTAGAATTTGAGTAGAGGTACAGAATTTTTCCCACCACTGTTACCCTCTCTCTGTTGTTTATGTATGTGACTTCTGTTTCTTTTACCTGTTCATTAGGACCTTTGCCATACTGTGGAAAAACTGAGCAACACTCTGGCCTCTCTCTCAGCCTGTGCTCGAAAGGTGGCCAACAAAGAAAAAGCTGCTCAGGAGGTTACAGCATTACAGCAGAAATATGAAAAGGTGCTAGAAAATGCTAAAGAGAAACAGACTGTATTAGAGACTCTTCTGGCTAAGTGGCAGAAGTGAGTAAACTTTCACTTCTTTTATAATGGACACAAAGACCTTCATGTGGTCTGTGTGTGAGACTAAGGGGATGGCTTGTGTTGGTAACTCTACATTTTGGTTTTCTTAGGCAGGAGAAGGAGCTGTCTGCCTTCGTGACCTGGTTGGAGGGCTGTGAAGCTACAGCTAGGCCTTCAGAGCAGTATGTTTCTGTTGACAGAGTTAAACTGGAAGGTGAACTGCAGTCACTGCAGGTACTTTTCAACTGAAAGGTTTTCCCTCTACACTTCCAGTTTTTTTCCTGTCTTTTAAAGGATGGACTTACTCAGGTCTACTCTGACAAGTCACTTGATTCTAGGCTTTGGAAATGTCATAGGGAGGTATTACGTTATCACTGTTGTTACTTATCAAAGACAAGAAAATTACAGGGAGAATGTTTTTTGCAAGTTTGCCTGCTCAACAAAAGTAATGCCCTGACATATCCTATTGTCTCTAAAGGAAGGATGTTAGTCTGCTTGCTGCAGGATCCTTTCTCTAGATAAATTATTTTGTTAGACAACATGACTTTCGTTTTTTTGCATGTCAGGAAAGTTGCTCAGATGACAAAATGCTCAAAGGTTTTGAATTCAAAATGAAAGTCTGAGTTCTGATCTTCTTAAAAAAAGGATTTTCATTGTGTCCTTAAGTATGCCTTCTCTTGGAATTTTTGCCAATTTTTTTTAGATTAATGTGAAGCAGTTGGCCAAATAAAGCATCGCTGAAAGGTTTTCCCTCTACACTTCCAGTTTTTTTCCTGTCTTTTAAAGGATGGACTTACTCAGGTCTACTCTGACAAGTCACTTGATTCTAGGCTTTGGAAATGTCATAGGGAGGTATTACGTTATCACTGTTGTTACTTATCAAAGACAAGAAAATTACAGGGAGAATGTTTTTTGCAAGTTTGCCTGCTCAACAAAAGTAATGCCCTGACATATCCTATTGTCTCTAAAGGAAGGATGTTAGTCTGCTTGCTGCAGGATCCTTTCTCTAGATAAATTATTTTGTTAGACAACATGACTTTCCTTTTTTTGCATGTCAGGAAAGTTGCTCAGATGACAAAATGCTCAAAGGTTTTGAATTCAAAATGAAAGTCTGAGTTCTGATCTTCTTAAAAAAAGGATTTTCATTGTGTCCTTAAGTATGCCTTCTCTTGGAATTTTTGCCAATTTTTTTTAGATTAATGTGAAGCAGTTGGCCAAATAAAGCATCTTTTACAGTCTCTGTGAAGTCAGTGAGTCTATAATTGTTTTAAATATTACTGAAAAGAAGAAAAATATTATTTCCGGTTTTGGTCTTTTGTCTGGGCCAATTTGTGGCATTACCTCACAGTTCTATTGCTGCACACAAAATAAGTTGCAAAACTTAAGTTTTATTTTATCCACTTTCATCATATAGTAGAGCTGTGTGGAAAGGCCACACTTTGTGCTAACGGACAGGAAAAAAAAACAACTTTGATGAATTCTTACTGAATTATATTTGAAGATTTAGCTGTAGGAAATCGAGGTGTAGAATACCTGCTTGTCCTAATAGGCCTCAGGGTCTATTCAAGGATTTGACTGTCCTCATTCACTTATCTCAAAGTGATGTACTGGAAATCTCCACCTGAATTTGTGGGTTTTTTTGTTATTTTTCATAATATGATGCCATATTTAATTAAACTCTGTGTATTGCATTGCTTTCTCAGGATTTGCAAGCAGATATTAAGTCCCATGCTTCAGTCCATGCGAGCCTGTTACAGTTAAATGAGTCACTATTCCCAACAGCTTCCAAACAGTGTGTGAATGCAATAAAAGAAAAATTTGAAGATCTGGATAAGAAGTGGAAAGCTTTACCACCAACTCTTGATAAAAGGTTTGTGCTTCAGAATGTTTTTTACATGTTAAATGAGAGTAACCAATATCCAGACAAGGAATCCCCATGCTGAAATATAATTTTGTACAGTATTACATGCTGGTTCATGTTAGGCTCAGGAACACTGCCTCCTTTTTTGAAACTGTATGTTATTGTATATTTAGAATTCAATTGTTTTGATGACAAACCTACATATTTTAGTATTTTTAAAGGAGCTTAACTAATAGACTCTGGTCAATTATATCTTCTTGGCACTTTCTCAGTATGACTGTTTTACAATATAATGATCTCCTACATAACATTTCATATTGAAAATTATGCAAAAAATTTCTAAGGGAAATGGGAAGGAAATAACAAGGCCTTTTTCAAGGTCAAGGTTTAGAAGCTTATAGCTTCTCACTCCTTGACTAAATTCATAACACTGTTACCTCACAGGCAGTGTTCCAGATGACAGGGCAACTGGAATTGCTATGTCTAAAAATTGAAGTTTAGCTTCCATCAATATCATTCTCTTTGCTGGGATTACCTCCATGAAGAAAAGTTGAAGAATGTGCCCTGACTATTTGGGACACTCCTAACAGCTGATATGAATAAAACAGTGAAAACAGAAAAGAACCTTACTGTTGCTTTCAAGTGTTATGTTATTCCCCAGTTAAGAAATCAACATGGCAGTCATCACATTTGAAATATAAATTAATATTTCCTTTTTTCCTTCCACCTGGCATTTATTTTAATGCTGTCCAGTCATCTGTGGTTTTGATTACGGCAATTCATTAATTTATATCAAATGCTTTTATATTTACATCTGACATCCTATAGGATCAACTTCCTTCAGTCTCTTGTTGCTGAGCATAGGCAGTTTGATGAGCTCCTGCTCAGGTTTTCAGACTGGATTAAGAAGTTTCTTGCTGAACTACAAGCCACTTCAGAGATAAACACAGCTGATCAACAACTAGCTGAATCTCACAATAAGGTAAACTTCTGAATGTAAATATTGAAGACAGACAAATTGTATGGTGCATTCAGTTAAATATTAATCTAAACTGAGCATGACGTCATTTATTTGTTTTAAAACTGATGTGCTGTTGCAGTCACATACAGATTTCTGCTATTTGACCAGTTTAAAGCAAAACTGTAACACAGACCTGTTCTTACTGGAAACCCCTCAGTAGCACTTCTTTTGATTGTAAGTTTAGTACTAAAATGTTTCCTAAACTTTTTATTGGAAGAAGAAACCCAGCTTTATGTTCTTTCTTTCCATAGAACCACTTAATGGAAGTTGAAAATAAGAAACAGCAGTTACAAAGTCTGAAGGAACATGTAGATAAATTGTGTTCTTTCAGCTGCCCAGAAGACCAGCAGACATTGCAGGGAAAGACTGAAGATTGTTTTCAGATCTTCCAGGAGGCAAATCAAATAACTTGCCAAAGACAAGAGGCTCTGGATCAGCTGCGGGTATTCCTGGAGCTCCATAGTGCTACATCAGGAGTGCTCCACCAGCTGAGGCAGACAGTGGAGAAAACAGGAAATATGGATAAAGCTAGATCTGAATTACTGGAGAAGAAACTTGATAATGTTGTTCAAGATCTTAACAAGCTGGAATCTGTTGCCATCAGTTTGGATGGTTCCCTTACTAAGGCCCAGTATCATCTAAGACACGGCATTTCTGAGCAGAGAACCTCCTGTAGGGCTGTGGTGGATAACCTGTGCTTGGAACTGGAGACAGTTCAAAACCTGCTGGGAACCAAACAGAGTGAGGCAGAAGCTCTTGAAGCTTTGCAAAGATCTTTCATGGAACATAAAGACCAACTACTGAAGAGTATCGAAGATATTGAAGAAAAGGCTGACAAGGAGGGCCTGAAGGAGACAACACTGCAAGCCCTCCAGCAAAGGTAAAAACAATATTAATGCTTGAGTTTGTCACTTCTTCATTTGCTTGCAGTCTCTAGGTTTTTTAGGATGCACTGGGGGCATGTATCAGTTTTCTGCCTGGGTACCTTATTTCTTGCCAGGCACAGTAGTAGTCCACATATCTGCTTAATTAAATTTCCTAAGTGAGCTGTTTGGATGAAGGGAGAACATGAGCAGAACACTTTGCAAGTCCTGTTAATCTTTTATATTGAAAAAACAGTCAAGAAAGTCTTTGTCTGAGAAATGTATTATGTTCGAATCTATCCAAGTTCCAAACAGCTATTAGAAATCCCATATGACATACCTATCTCTACTCCTAGATTGAAGATTGTAAATGTATTGAAGGAACTGAAAACACTTACTATAATAAAGTATTAATCTAAATATTTCTTTCCAAACCACTGTTCAGAGGAAATTTACTGTTGAAGTAAATTTGAAACCCACCTTTTAACTTGCAGATTGAGGATCTTTAACCAGTTAGATGAAGAATTGAATTCTTACCAGCACAAACTCCAGTGGCTCATGGACAAAGCAAAACAAATAGCCCAAAAAGATATTACAGTTGCTCCTGATATTGACAAAGATATAAACTGCTTAGAATCTCTATGGAAGGACACCAAGAAGGCTATTCATGAAAAGTAAGTAAATCTTAGACTTAAGGTCAGAAAGGAGAAGTTCATTTTAGTGAGGGAAAGA